TGGCATCTAAAACAATTACGTGGATTTGCACTGTCGCTGATAATTGAGGTTCACCCCCATCGACAGCTGTCAGTGTTAGAGTCAATTGTGTCTGCTTTTCCCTATCAAGACTTTTTTCTAAAACCATCTCGATCTCATTCTCTCCACCCGAGTTACCGTTGAGGTTTAAACCGAAGTTATCTGTTGGATTAAGGGAATATTTTTAGCCCGTTGATACCGACGTCATAATCTATCGCTTTCTCTAATACAAATCTGGCACCCCTAACAGCGGATTCACTGATCTCAAATTCCATATTATTCATCTTGAATATAGGGGCGTTGTCGTTTATATCTGTTATTTCTACTGTAACGCGATAGAACTCGATGGGATTTTCCAAGATGATTTGAAAGTGTAAAGCACACGGAGTCGTTTGTTTGCACAAAGCTTCTCTGTCTATTCTCTCCTTGATGAGAAGGAGTCCCTTTTCTTTATTCAGCTCGATGTACTCAGCGCTGCTTCCGACGTGCAAGCGAGCTTTTCCTGATTTCAGCCGTTTTAAATCCAAGCCTAAATCTTGTGCTATGTTGCCGACCAATGAGCCCTTTGACAGTTCCTCGGGGATAGAGTAGCTGACCTGCCCAAGTCCGGGACAGAGGAGGAACATAGAGAAAAACAACAATACTTGCCGTCTCATTGTCACCGTCTCGGTTCTCCACAATCACAACCAATCAAAAAATACTCACAAAAAAAACCGATAACAACACAGTCGTATTCCACAGATTGGAGGACTAAAACGGTCGGGTATACAAATAAGCCTATAAAATCATATTCAATCCCTTTGCCCGTCGGTGCAGTATCCTCGGTTATTCAGACTGTGCATTGTCTCGACCTCTCTTACTATGAATCTAGATAAACGGGGAGGTGCTGCTGAACTCTGCAGCAAAACAACCACACACTGGCCAACAGCGTCCCTAAGAGTAATAGACACGAAACTACACGAGACTGGAGCAATACATAGTCTGAGCTAGGTACGGTTGAAAATGTTATTAAAGTGCTGGCATTTTTTGATGATGTAGGAGGCTTTGTTGTCTGAGCAAACTTCTCAAAATGAATTAGAAAAGCACAAATAATAATAATAAATAATAGTTGAAATGGGACACACACGTCCAAATAAAATTGCTCTACTTCAGCTTTGAACCAATAATGTCTACTTAAGGGCAGTGTACTGAGGAAGAATGCACACAAGTCTCTCTCTCTCTGACACACGAAGAAACGTACGTGAATTAGGAGTAATAAATAAATGGAAAAAGATAGATACAGGACAACTGATAATAGATCACGTGCCAATATTTTCATTATCCTCGTGTATTATTGTATCTGGGAGCTGTCCATGGTGCTGAAATATATTTAGACAATAGTCGAAAAGTTTTGGGTACTTTGTACTTCACTTTCCCCCCATATTACAAAATTCACATATTATTCACAGATTTTGAACGGGAAGCCTCACCTCTAGAGGAGAGTCTGGTTCATCCAGGATGCTCTTCTCACTCTGTATCCTCTGCATGGTCCCTGTAGAACTGGGGTCCATTATCAGCACGTTCTGACTACCAGCTCTGCCGAACTTACAGTCACTCTTTCTGGAGTCAGTCGTCCTGCACACCTCGTAATTGTACACGTGCTGGAGAGTCCCTGTGCCCAAAGTGTCTGAGTAACGTGGTGGATAATATGGAATCACAGGGAGGTTGGAGTGAAACAGGGTGCGAGACTGTCTCCATCTGTAGATTTTCACTGATATAATAACCACCACACACGTGATGAAGAGGAAGGACACTACAGCCAAAGCCAGCACTAAGTAAAAAGTCAGGTTGTCATTGTACTCCTTGTCGTGTGTAAAGTCAGTGAACTCAGACAGCACTTCAGGGAAGCTGTCCGCCACCGCCACGTTAACAATGACTGCAGCTGAACGAGACGGCTGCCCGTTGTCCTCCACTATAACAGTCAGTCTTTGTTTCACAGCATCTTTATCATTCACTTGACGGATAGTTCTGATTTCTCCATTCTGTAAGCCCACTTCAAACAGCGCCCTGTCTGTGGCTTTCTGCAGTTTATACGAGAGCCAGGCATTCTGTCCAGAGTCCACATCAACAGCCACCACTTTAGTCACCAGGTAGCCCACATCTGCTGCACGAGGCACCATCTCAGCCACCACTGATCCACCAGTCTGGACTGGGTACAGGACCTGAGGGGGTTGTCGTTCTGGTCCTGGATCACTATTTTGACTGTCACGTTGCTACTGAGTGGAGGGGAGCCTCCATCCTGCGCTTTGACGCGGAACTGAAGTCTTTGATCTGCTCGTAGTCAAAAGAGCGCACTGCATGGATGACTCCACTATCAGCACTGACGGAAACATATGAGGAGACTGGCACTCCGTTAACAGAGGAGTCCTCCAGGATGTAAGAAACACGGGCATTCTGGTTCCAGTCAGCGTCTCTGGCTTTCACTGTGAATATAGAGAGGCCTGGTGTGTTGTTTTCTACAATGTAGGCCTCATATGAGCTCCTCTCAAAGACAGGCGCGTTGTCATTCACATCAGAGATCTGTAAGGTGAGAGTGACGCTGCTGGAGAGAGAGGGCACTCCCTCATCAGAACACGTCACTGTGATGTTATACTGAGGGGCTCTCTCTCTGTCTAAATCACTGTCTGTCACTAAACTATAGAAATTATTCGTCGATGTTTTTAAAGTGAAGGGTAAATTTTCATTGATAAAACATTGCACTTTACCGTTTTCTCCTGAGTCCTTGTCCTCGATGTTAATCATTGTAACAACGGTATTAAGTTTGGCATCCTCTGAAATAACAGTTGACTTCGACATTATATTAATTTCAGGCTTGTTGTCATTTACATCCTGAACATCGACAATTAACTTACATGAGTCTGTGAGCCCTCCGTCATCACTTGCAAGCAAATTTATCTGATAGTTTCGCGATTCTTCAAAGTCAATATTTCCAATTAAGGTTACTTCACCATTTTTTTCATTTACCTGAAACACCTTTCTGATATCATCTAAGCTATTTGTAATAGAATATGTTATTTTACCGTTTGAGCCTTGATCGGCATCTGAGGCTGTAACAGTGGCAACAACGGTGCCTTTAGGTGAATTTTCAGTAACTGTAGCCTTGTATGTTGGCTGTGTAAAAACAGGGGCATTATCGTTTACATCTAAAACTGTGATAACAATAAGCATTGTTCCTGACATCTGCGGCTCTCCTCCATCTACAGCAGTCAAGACGAGAGATATCTGCTCCTGTTTCTCCCTGTCCAAAGGCTTCTGTAGCACCATCTCTACGTTTTTATTACCGTCAGCGTTGTTGTGCAGTTTTAGAGCAAAATTATCAGTCGGTTTTAACTCGTAGTTTTTAAGATCGTTGATTCCTACATCAAGATCCACAGCTCGTTTAAGCACGAATTTAGCTCCAATCACTGCGGATTCGCTTATTTTAAATTGCATCTCACCTTTTTCAAATGTAGGTGCGTTATCGTTGATATCTGTGATCTGGACAGTAACACTGTAAAATTCCATTGGATTCTCTAAAATAATCTGGAAATGCAAAGCACACGGCGTCGTCTGTCTGCAGAGCGCCTCTCTGTCGATTCTCTGTTTAACAAGGAGGACTCCTCTCTCTCTGTTCAGCTCCATGTATTCGTCGCTGTCTCTGGTATAAATCCGAGCCTTACCGGATGCCAGACGTTTCGTTTCCAAACCCAAATCTTGTGCAATGTTACCGACTAAAGATCCTCTGGACATTTCCTCCGGAATAGTGTAGCTGACTTGTCCCAGCACTGATCCGACGGAGAGGAGACAGAAAAACAGCAGAACTTGCCCTGTCATTGTTCTGCCGAAACGTTTCCGTATGATTCAGTGTCGTATCCCGTTAGTCTGATATCGATTCCAGTTATGAACGCTAACTCGTCATTTTTTTCCTCATAAGCGGACAAAGTCTGAAATTTCACGTCTTCTTTCAAAATATCCTGCACGAATATGGTAGTGGTTCTTTCTCGTCGAGCTCTTTCTTCATTATGTAGATGAACAATGGGAGGTGCTGCTCCAACCCTACTGTCAGCCGTTCACATTCTGGTCAACAGCGGCCCTAAGAGTTCACAGTATAAAACTGCAGAAAACCAACTCAGATGACTCTTTGTTCAGAACTCTTGCTTACAACATGTCTAAAGTTTAAAAAAAGCGATTTGAATTTTATTTGAAATATGAGGATTAAACAGTTGAATAATTTGAATGTTTTGTAATACTATTTAGGCATTTTTGCAGTTGTTTTAATACAAGAATTGTATGTAAAGACGAAGTAATAAACGTATTTTTTAGTATTTAAAATGATCACACAAAATGATCAAATTCTTCAAAAGCCAAGGAACTCAACTGTTGTTGCACTATGAGGAGAAAAAAATGGTAAAAATGGCTATCAGTGATTGATGGTAAAAAGAGCTGAAAAAGTAACTGTCTCTCTCCAAGGTCCTGAAAATATATACTGCTTACTGAATAGAATCATTGCACAAGTCCTCTCAACAAAACACGAAATGATGTTCGAAAATAAGACAACATTTAACAGACTGATGCCCCCAGAAACAACCTATACCTGCCACGAAGACAAATGTAAACTCATGAATCTATTGAGTACTCGTCTGGTTTAACATAAGTGACCAACGCCCGACAGAGTCCGTGTTTGAGTTCTGCAGGCAGTACAGATAACCAGCTGCGCGTCCACACACAATTCAAAGTCACATAAAAAACCATAGTAGAACATTACTGTATATCAGGAATGCTAAGTTAAGCAATGAACCCACACTTGAACTCAATGTAGAAAACTGCTTAAATAGCACTACTGAATAGATGGTTTAGGATAACAATGGGGTGATGATCAAATCTTGACATGCTGCATCCATTATACCAAAACTCGGTGTTTGAGATTTAAATTATGTAGTAGGAAAAGGTGCATAAAAACAATCTTAAATCAGTCTGACCTCTAGAGGAGAGTCTGGTTCATCCAGGATGCTCTTCTCACTCTGTATCCTCTGCATGGTCCCTGTAGAACTGGGGTCCATTATCAGCACGTTCTGACTACCAGCTCTGCCGAACTTACAGTCACTCTTTCTGGAGTCAGTCGTCCTGCACACCTCGTAATTGTACACGTGCTGGAGAGTCCCTGTGCCCAAAGTGTCTGAGTAACGTGGTGGATAATATGGAATCACAGGGAGGTTGGAGTGAAACAGGGTGCGAGACTGTCTCCATCTGTAGATTTTCACTGATATAATAACCACTACACACGTGATGAAGAGGAAGGACACTACAGCCAAAGCCAGCACTAAGTAAAAAGTCAGGTTGTCATTGTACTCCTTGTCGTGTGTAAAGTCAGTGAACTCAGACAGCACTTCAGGGAAGCTGTCCGCCACCGCCACGTTAACAATGACTGCAGCTGAACGAGACGGCTGCCCGTTGTCCTCCACTATAACAGTCAGTCTTTGTTTCACAGCATCTTTATCATTCACTTGGGCGGATAGTTCTGATTTCTCCATTCTGTAAGCCCACTTCAAACAGCGCCCTGTCTGTGGCTTTCTGCAGTTTATACGAGAGCCAGGCATTCTGTCCAGAGTCCACATCAACAGCCACCACTTTAGTCACCAGGTAGCCCACATCTGCTGCACGAGGCACCATCTCAGCCACCACTGATCCACCAGTCTGGACTGGGTACAGGACCTGAGGGGGGTTGTCGTTCTGGTCCTGGATCACTATTTTGACTGTCACGTTGCTGCTGAGTGGAGGGGAGCCTCCATCCTGCGCTTTGACGCGGAAGTGGAAGTCTTTGATCTGCTCGTAGTCAAAAGATCGCACTGCATGGATGACTCCACTATCAGCACTGACGGACACATATGAGGAGACTGGTACTCCGTTAACAGAGGAGTCCTCCAGGATGTAAGAAACACGGGCATTCTGGTTCCAGTCAGCGTCTCTGGCTTTCACTGTGAATATAGAGAGGCCTGGTGTGTTGTTTTCTACAATGTAGGCCTCATATGAGCTCCTCTCAAAGACAGGCGCGTTGTCATTCACATCAGAGATCTGTAAGGTGAGAGTGACGCTGCTGGAGAGAGAGGGCACTCCCTCATCAGAACACGTCACTGTGATGTTATACTGAGAAGCGATCTCTCTGTCTAAATCACTGTCTGTCACTAAACTATAGAAATATGAGATGTTTTTAAAATGAAAGGTATATTTTAACAAAACATTGCACCGTTTTCTCCTGAATCCTTGTCCTCAATATTTAATCATTGTACAACTGTATTAAGTTTAGCATCTCTGATAATACAGTGACTTCGACATTATATTAATTTCAGGTTGGTTGTCGTTAACATCTTGCACATCAACAATTAATTTACAGGAATCAGTGAGTCCACCTTCGTCACTTGCAAGTAAGTTGATTTGGAAATGTCTTTTCTTCTCGAAATCAATATTTCCAATTAAAGTGACTTCGCCATTCTCCTCACTGACCTCAAACATTTTTCTAACATTGTCTAAGGTATTTGTTATTGAATATGTTACTTTACCATTTGAGCCTTGATCTGCATCTGAGGCTGTAACAGTGGCAACAACGGTGCCTTCAGGTGAATTTTCAGTAACTGTAGCCTTGTATGTTGGCTGTGTAAAAACAGGGGCATTATCGTTTACATCTAAAACTGTGATAACAATAAGCATTGTTCCTGACATCTGCGGCTCTCCTCCATCTACAGCAGTCAAGACGAGAGATATCTGCTCCTGTTTCTCCCTGTCCAAGGCTTCTGTAGCACCATCTCTACGTTTTTATTACCGTCAGCGTTATTGTGCAGTTTAAGAGCAAAAGTTATCAGTCGGTTTTAACTCGTATCTGAAGATCATTAATACCAACATAGATCCACAGCTCTTTCCAGCACAAATTTAGCTCCGATCACGGCTGACTCGCTTATTTTAAATTCATCTCTTTTTTTCAAAGGTTGGTGCATTATCGTTAATATCTGTGATCTGGACAGTAACACTGTAAAATTCCATAGGATTCTCCAAAATAATCTGGAAATCTAAAGCACAAAGCGCAGTCTCTGTGCACAAACCTCTCTGTCGATTCTCTCTTTGACGAGGAGGACTCCTCTTTCTCTGTTCAGCTCGATGTACTCGTTGCTGTTCCTCGTATAGATCTTAGCTTTGCCGGAAATCAGACGTTTACTTTCCAAACCTAAATCTGCGCTATATTTCCCACTAAAGAGTTTTTCGCCATTTCCTCCGGAATAGAGTAGGTGACCTGCCCGAAAACTGAGTCGAAAGAAAGCAGCGACATAAACAACAGTACTTGCCAATTCATTGTTCTTTCAGATTTGTCCCTCAGTGAGGCTCCACAGTCCGTTTGTAATCCAAACAACAAATACAACCCAGATTCAAAATGTAAATATCATATGAACCGCTCCAAGAGTCACTCGTTGTTAAAATGATTAAAGAGTCGAAATTTCTCCTCTTTAAAAAAAAGAAATCCCGCAGCCAGGCTCGCCAGCCTTTTCCCCGTCGAGTTCTGTCTGTACTGTGTCGACGTTAGAAGGGAGGTGCTGCTGCAAACCTGCTCTCTTCCGTTGACAATCTGGTCAACAGCGGCCCTAAGAGTCCACATAACAAAACTACAGAAGACTAACTAAAATATAACCCAGAAGAAGATACTTTAAACCATCTAAAATTGTGTTAAGATAAATCTTCTCCAGTAATATATTGGAATTTACAAATGATTTTAAACGGAAAAAGGTCGTCGAAATGAATCCTTTAAACTGATAAATCACAGTGAAAATGTACATAGAGAACATGTAAACACAGTTGGAGAAATTGTTGTTGTGTAATGTTTCAAGTGTGCCAGGGATCAGTGGATATAAATTCAAAATGTACTACTGCAAAGGGGCAAAACACGGATAATGTAGTTACTATATTATGATGCTGTTTATGGCTAAATAAAATAGAGAACCAAATAAGAGCCATATATCTAACAGTGGAAACGACAGTTAATAGCAAGTATGCAACATGTGGCTCTACTATTTATGTCACTGTCTGAAGTTCTGAAGTGAATTAAATGTGACACATTTAAAATCATTAGACTGCAAAACCTCTTTGTATAAGATAAATAAAGTATATTTGGAAATATATGGAACAATAAAAACAATCTATCTGCGTTTTCTATTATCAACACTACAATTTACGACGAAGCAAATCCATAACTATTGGAAAAAATAAAATCATGCAGTGTTTTAGAAAGGAGGTTGAGGTTAGCATACATTTACAGATAATTTGGCGAAAGATCACGTGACCGATACCCAAATTCCAAAGTAATTAAACCACTTAAAATATATTCAAATATTGCCACATTAAAACAAGTATTAATTAAAATGAATATGGTATGGTAAGCTTTCTATCACTTTCAGAATGTGTATAACTTCAAAATAATTATGAAAACACTGCAGCTGTTTTAAAGCATTCTAACCTCAAGAGGAGAGTCTGGTTCATCCAGGATGCTCTTCTCACTCTGTATCCTCTGCATGGTCCCTGTAGAACTGGGGTCCATTATCAGCACGTTCTGACTACCAGCTCCGCCGAACTTACAGTCACTCTTTCTGGAGTCAGTCGTCCTGCACACCTCGTAATTGTACACGTGCTGGAGAGTCCCTGTACCCAAAGTGTCTGAGTAACGTGGTGGATAATATGGAATCACAGGGAGGTTGGAGTGATACAGGGTGCGAGACTGTCTCCATCTGTAGATTTTCACTGATATAATAACCACTACACACGTGATGAAGAGGAAGGATACTACAGCCAAAGCCAGCACTAAGTAAAAAGTCAGGTTGTCATTGTACTCCTTGTCGTGTGTAAAGTCAGTGAACTCAGACAGCACTTCAGGGAAGCTGTCCGCCACCGCCACGTTAACAATGACTGCAGCTGAACGAGACGGCTGCCCGTTGTCCTCCACTATAACAGTCAGTCTTTGTTTCACAGCATCTTTATCATTCACTTGGCGGATAGTTCTGATTTCTCCATCCTGTAAGCCCACTTCAAACAGCGCTCTGTCTGTGGCTTTCTGCAGTTTATACGAGAGCCAGGCATTCTGTCCAGAGTCCACATCAACAGCCACCACTTTAGTCACCAGGTAGCCCACATCTGCAGCACGAGGCACCATCTCAGCCACCACTGATCCACCAGTCTGGACTGGGTACAGGACCTGAGGGGGGTTGTCGTTCTGGTCCTGGATCACTATTTTGACTGTCACATTGCTGCTGAGTGGAGGGGAGCCTCCATCTTGAGCTTTGACGGTGAATTCAAGCAGCTTGATTTGTTCATAATCAAAAGACCGCACTGCGTGTAGGACTCCAGTTTCGGTGTTTATGGAAACATAAGACGATATTGGGCTGCCACTAACCTGCGAGTCTTCCAAAAAGTATGAAATTCTAGCGTTTTGATGCCAGTCAGAATCTCGTGCACTCACGCTGAATATTGTTTTGCCGGGGACATTATTTTCTATGATGAAAGCAGAATATTTTTGTTCAGTAAAGAGTGGAGAATTATCATTTACATCAGAAATCTTTAGCAGTAAAGTAGTTTTTGTAGAAAGTGGGGGTGACCCTAAATCAGTTGCAGTTATGGTTATGTTATATTCTGGTGTTGTTTCACGATCAAATGGTACATCTGAAAGCAAATTGTAATAATTTGTTAAAGAAGACTGGATTTTGAAGGGAAGAAAATAATCTAATGAACATGTTATTTGACCGTTTCTCTCAGAGTCTGCATCTTTGACATTAAAAACAGCTATAGTCGTGCCAGGAGGGACATCCTCTGAAATCAGGCTGGCGAAGGACATTATATTTATAACTGGAGAATTATCATTTACGTCAGCGACGTCAATCACGACTTTTGTTGCGTCACTAAGGCCGCCCTGGTCTTTAGCAATTACTCTGATTTCGTATTTTTTGTCTTTCTCGAAATCTATTACATCAGCAACAGTTATTTTACCAGATAAACTGTCTATTTCAAAATGTCCTCCAGACTTTCCTTTAACATTGGAAAACATATATGTAATCAATCCATTCGACCCACTGTCGGCATCTGAAGCATTTACAGTTGTAATATATGTACCCACTGGGGCATTTTCTGTCACTGCAGCAGAATAAATGGACTGATTAAAAACAGGAGGATTGTCGTTGACATCAAGGACAGCAATTTCTATATTTACTGTACCAGATCGTTGAGGCGTTCCTCCGTCTACTGCAATGAGTTTCAAAGTGAGGTGTGGATGCATCTCTCTGTCTAATGGCTTCTGTAAAATCATCACAGCAAATTGGATTCCATCAGCGTTGGACTGTTGCTTTAAAACAAAATTGTCATTCGGAGTTAAAACATAATTTTTCAAGCCGTGAATCCCTGAATCGGGGTCATATGCGCTTTCTAAGTCGAAATGAGATAATATTGTTGCAGATTCACTAATTTCTAGATTAATTACGTTACTTTTGAATGTTGGCGAGTGGTCATTCACATCTAATATTTCTACGGTCACTCTGTGCAGTTCAATTGGATTTTCCAAAATTATTTCGAAGCTGAAGCTGCACGGTGTCACGTCTCCACAGAGCTCTTCTCTGTCGATCCTTTCATTCACAACTAGAATCCCTTTGTCTGTCTTCAGCTCGGTGTAGTGATGGTTTTCTCCAGTAACGATACGAGCCCGGCCGGAACGGAGCCTTTTCAGATCCAAACCAAGATCCTGGGCTATGTTACCGATCAGAGAACCTTTCTTCATCTCCTCCGGTATTGAATAACGGATTTGACCGTTGATGGTGCAAACCATGAACACAAGATTGAATAATTGCCATGTAAGTGTCTCACACAGCAGCCATTTTCCCCATCCGTGCTGGCGTATCCCCATGGCGCCCAGAGTGAAAATCCTCAAAGTAACTGAAAATGATTCCCCAGCGACAGGAAATATATATTTACAATCCAGTCCAACAGTACTGCATCAATTACAAACGATTATTAGTTCTGAAAAACGGCTCTTTCAAATCGACTGTATTTCCATCGAGTGCACCCTGGTATGAACACTGTATTTCTCCCTCCTCTTTCCCTCCTACATACCAGCAACCACACTAGACTCGGTTTTACTGATCAACAGCGTCTCTTAGAGTACAAACGGAGGAAGTACCAGACAAACTGCAATCTGATTAGAAAGATCAACACTTTTCTATCAAATTTAATGTGAGAACGAACATGATGGCAATACAACCTGCCCCCAACCCACAAAAAAAGTAAAAATTGAGTATCAAAAGATTTATACATAAAAAACACACTCCATGATTAAACTACTGGCAGAAAGATAACAACTTTAAGCAATAAACAACTCTGTGTGTAACCAGCACTGCACCTGTCTCCGGGCCACAGCCCACATAGAAAGAGTTTTACCTATAAAGTGTTGAGTACTTTAGACAGAGAGAAGTAGACAATGAAGTTAAAAAGTAACACTAACTACAGCACGTCCCTTAGCATGTGTATCCCCCCCTCCCCCAAAGCTCTCTTAAAAAGCCACAGCAACGACTTTCCAGTTGTGTCGATGTGAAATGAAATAACATTGTTACACCAAATCGGTTTCTAAGTATTTGTTTTAAAGTTCTAAATGAAAAGAATACAGCATACGGTGAAAATGTAGCCTCTGTCCATGGTGCTGAAAGTGACAATATGGCTTCGAAACAGTTCACGATCAACCAAATACAGAAAGCAGAACAGCAGCAAATAACAGGCTTCATTATTTCACTAACCTCTAGAGGAGAATCTGGTTCATCCAGGATGCTCTTCTCACTCTGTATCCTCTGCATGGTCCCTGTAGAACTGGGGTCCATTATCAACACGTTCTGACTACCAGCTCTGCCGAACTTACAGTCACTCTTTCTGGAGTCAGTCGTCCTGCACACCTCGTAATTGTACACGTGCTGGAGAGTCCCTGTGCCCAAAGTGTCTGAGTAACGTGGTGGATAATATGGAATCACAGGGAGGTTGGAGTGAAACAGGGTGCGAGACTGTCTCCATCTGTAGATTTTCACTGATATAATAACCACCACACACGTGATGAAGAGGAAGGACACTACAGCCAAAGCCAGCACTAAGTAAAAAGTCAGGTTGTCATTGTACTCCTTGTCGTGTGTAAAGTCAGTGAACTCAGACAGCACTTCAGGGAAGCTGTCCGCCACCGCCACGTTAACAATGACTGCAGCTGAACGAGACGGCTGCCCGTTGTCCTCCACTATAACAGTCAGTCTTTGTTTCACAGCATCTTTATCATTCACTTGACGGATAGTTCTGATTTCTCCATTCTGTAAGCCCACTTCAAACAGCGCCCTGTCTGTGGCTTTCTGCAGTTTATACGAGAGCCAGGCATTCTGTCCAGAGTCCACATCAACAGCCACCACTTTAGTCACTAGGTAGCCCACATCTGCTGCACGAGGCACCATCTCAGCCACCACTGATCCACCAGTCTGGACTGGGTACAGGACCTGAGGGGGGTTGTCGTTCTGGTCTTGAATATTTAATTGCAGTGTGGTATTGCTGCTGAGTGGAGGGGAGCCTCCATCCTGCGCTTTCACACATATGTTTAGATTTTTAATCTGCTCAAAGTCAAATGATCGAACAGCCTGTATAACTCCGTCTTCTGCGTTAACAGATATATAAGTAGATATGGGGTAACCATTCAACTGACTGTCAATTAGCAGGTAAGATACACGTGCGTTAGGCCCGGAGTCTGAGTCGTGTGCCTTCAAGGAAAACACAGATAATCCTGGCGAATTATTCTCCATAATGTTGGCTTCATAATAACGCTGTTCAAATACGGGTGCATTGTCATTGACGTCGGATATTCGAAGTGTTATTGTCTTGTTAGTTGACATTGATGGGCTCCCTTCATCCACAGCTGTAAACGTGATGTTGTAAACAGGATTACGCTCCCTATCAAGGACACCATTTGTCACCAGAGTGTAATAATTCTTTAGAGATGAGTGGATTGCAAACGGGATATTGCCGTTAACTGAGCAGTCTACTTTGCCATTTTTGCCTGAATCCAGATCTTTAACGTTTATGATCGCCACAGTAGTTCCACTAGGGGAGTCCTCTGCTATAGCATTAGAAAACGAGGTCAATGTTATTACAGGGGCATTGTCATTTACATCCGTGACTTCAATTATTACTTTGGTTGATGTGCTTTGTCCGCCTTGGTCTTTAGCCTGCACACCAATCTCATAGATTTTATTCTCTTCGTAATCGATGACGCCGTTTACAGTTAAATCACCGCTGTTTTCATCCAGATTAAATAGCTCAGCCACATTACCTGACATGCGACTAAAGTGATATGAAACACGACCATTAATTCCCTCATCTGCATCTGTTGCGCTCACACGCAGCACCGAGGCTCCTTTTCGAATATTTTCTTTAACAGACGCCTTGAACAACGATTGTGTAAACACCGGAGCATTATCATTCGTGTCTCGCACAGTTACATGTATTTTCAGCGTGCCCGACCGCTGTGGCTCACCGCCGTCCACTGCAGTCAGTGTGAGAAGCAGCTTTTCTTCTCTCTCGCGGTCCAACGCATTAGAAAGATACAACTGTGCATATTTGTGGCCATTTGGGCTGGACAGGACTTTAATGCTGAAATGTGTTGTTGGGTGTAATGTATATCCGCCTAAAGCGTTGATGCCAACATCAGGGTCTGTAGCACTCTCTTGTAATATTTCGGTCCCTGGAAGAGCAGATTCTAGTATTTCTACATGCACTTCTTTCTCGGGAAACACCGGTGCGTTATCATTAACATCCAAAACTTCCACTACAACACTATGTAACTGCATTGGGTTCATCATTATCATTTCAAAATTCAGGCTACAGGGCGATGTCTGCCCGCAGAGCTGCTCTCTGTCTATCCTTTCCCCCACCACTAGAATCCCTTTGTCTATATCGAGCCAAACATACTCGCTGCTATCGCTGCTTACAATTCGGGCACCGCCTGATGTGAGTCGTTTAACGTCGATGCCTAAATCTTCTGCCACATTTCCTACGAAGGCGCCTTTTCTCATCTCCTCTGGGACCGAATAGCGAATCTGACAGAGTGTAAAGTCAAATAGAAAAACAAGGATGAAGGCCTGTACTTGCCATTTTACCAAGGGTTCTCTGATGAAAAAAGCCATATTTCCGAAGCAATCCACTCTACTTAAAATATGGCACAAAAAACCGGTTCATTACCGGAGAAAGTCCTATCGTTGATGTTGTTTGAATCTAAGCTGAGACCACGAACACCTTGGTCTCAGAAACCCCGGTGAAAATGAAGACTTAAATGCCCTGCTCTGCACGGCACACTATGACAAGAATAGGAGGTGTTGCTGCATTAAAAAAAAGGCTCCCAGAGTGCTTTGAAGACCAACAGCGGCCCTTACAGTTCGATGTGAAAACAGCAACTGCATAACTCCATAAAGGGGGAGAACTATCTCTTTGAGTATGTCAGTAAGGAACCTGCTAACGTTTAGGAATTAAGTGGAGTGTAATTCAGTGTATGCAAGTACACGGTTTATTGAACTGAAAATAAGATAAAAGATGTAGCTGAAGAACAGAAGTAATTGCAGAGAAGAAGTAGATAAAAGGCAGTGTAATGAAAATAAATGTAATCATCTGAAATCACTCTATCGGCAAAGTATTAGATACATTTGCCTTTTTCCTCCACAATAAAATTTATATGAAAGCTGAAAAAAATGTCCAACTGCAACACACGCAAAACAGGATGACCAAAAATGTGAGATTTTTAACACATAACAGCTGATTTCATGGTGGGGACACTTCTTAATGCATAGGCCAAACACAGCCAACTGGCTCAATTAGATGAGGAGCTGTCCAACACTAGTGGTGCTGAAGTTGACCTCTAAGCAGTAAGAGTCAAGCGAAAACCCAAGCAATGTGGATTTTAAAAGTAAAAAGCATATAAGTGTATAAGGAATGATGGAGCAATAAACTAACCTCTAGAGGAGAATCTGGTTCATCCAGGAGGCTCTTCTCACTCTGTATCCTCTGCATGGTCCCTGTAGAACTGGGGTCCATTATCAACACGTTCTGACTACCAGCTCTGCCGAACTTACAGTCACTCTTTCTGGAGTCAGTCGTCCTGCACACCTCGTAATTGTACACGTGCTGGAGAGTCCCTGTGCCCAAAGTGTCTGAGTAACGTGGTGGATAATATGGAATCACAGGGAGGTTGGAGTGAAACAGGGTGCGAGACTGTCTCCATCTGTAGATTTTCACTGATATAATAACCACTACACACGTGATGAAGAGGAAGGACACTACAGCCAAAGCCAGCACTAAGTAAAAAGTCAGGTTGTCATTGTACTCCTTGTCGTGTGTAAAGTCAGTGAACTCAGACAGCACTTCGGGGAAGCTGTCCGCCACCGCCACGTTAACAATGACTGCAGCTGAACGAGACGGCTGCCCGTTGTCCTCCACTATAACAGTCAGTCTTTGTTTCACAGCATCTTTATCATTCACTTGACGGATAGTTCTGATTTCTCCATTCTGTAAGCCCACTTCAAACAGCGCCCTGTCTGTGGCTTTCTGCAGTTTATAAGAGAGCCAGGCATTCTGTCCAGAGTCCACATCAACAGCCACCACTTTAGTCACCAGGTAGCCCACATCTGCTGCACGAGGCACCATCTCAGCCACCACTGATCCACCAGTCTGGACTGGGTACAGGACCTGAGGGGGGTTATCGTTCTGGTCCTGGATCACTATTCTTACTGAAGCCACCGAAGTCAGAGGAGGGGATCCAGCATCACGAGCTGTTACGTTGAATTCAAACCACTTGATTTGCTCAAAATCAAACGACCTCACTGCATGAATGACGCCACTTTCTGAATTTACTGACACCAGTGAAGACACAGCGACCCCATTAATCTCTTTCTCTTCCAGGAGGTAAGAAACACGAGCGTTTTGGCCCCAGTCTGCATCACTAGCACTGAGGGTGAAAACAGAAACTCCGGGAGGGTTGTTCTCAGGTACAGTCTTACTATATTCTGATTGATCAAATTTAGGTGGGCTGTCGTTCACATCAGAAACTTTGACATTTATGGTTTTACTGCTCGACAGTGGCGGAGAGCCCTGGTCAGATACGGTGATTGTGATATTATACTCAGGAACACTTTCCCTGTCTAAGAAGTCTTCAGTTACAATCGTATAATATCCTGTTAATGACGACTCCATTTTGAATGGGATGTCAGAGTTAATGGAGCACTTGACGACACCGTTACCGTCAGAGTCTTCGTCATCCACGTTAACAACAGCTAGCGTTGTACCTGGAGGAGAGTCCTCGGATATCGAGTTTGAAAATGACATCATTTGTATTGTTGGGACATTGTCGTTCTCGTCAATTATCTGAATAATAACTTTACACGTGTCTGTATATCCCCCGTGGTCACTGGCCTGAACGTTTAATTGATATGTTTGAGATTTTTCAAAATCCAGTTTACCTGCTACTTTAATCTCTCCAGATTTTACATTTACCTCAAAAAGCTGCCTCACCTCTCTCGTGATATGAGGAAGTGAAAATATGACATCTCCATATACACCTTTATCTGCGTCATTCGCACTGACAGTGGTCACCACTGTTCCTGCAGGAGAGTTCTCTCGGACATCTGCTTTATAAACAGGCTGACTACAGACTGGCGCATTATCATTAGCATCCAGCACACTGATATGAATACGCACCGTCCCTGATCTGTGAGGCTCTCCTCCATCTGAAGCAAGCAGCACGAGTGTGTGAGTCTCCTCTTTCTCTCGGTCCAACGGGTTTTGCAAAACCATTTCGATGTAACTCCCTCCATCAGGCTGGTTCTGTACCTCCAATTTAAAGTGATCAGAGGGTTTAAGTGTATATTTTTGAATATCATTAATACCAACATCGGGGTCGTCTGCATTTACCAAAGAGAAACGAGTGCCTGACGCAACACTCTCAACAATTTTCAAACTGATCTCATCCTTTGGGAACGACGGGCTGTTATCGTTTATGTCTACTACCTCCACTGTGACCCGATAAAGCTGGATTGGATTTTCTAAAATCAACTCGAAGCTGAAGCTACAGGGCGTCGTCTTTCCGCACAGTTCTTCTCGGTCTACTTGCTCTTTAATAACGAGGGTGCCTTTGTCCCGGTTTAAATCAACGTACTGTCGGCTTCCTTTCATAATAATACGAGCTTTTCCTGATATGAGCCTCGCCACATCCAGACCCAAGTCTCGAGCGATGTTTCCAACAAAAGACCCTTCTGCCTGCTCCTCCGGTACGGAGTACCGAGCCTGTCCACTCACTGAGCTCAGCATGAAAAGACAAAGAATGACAACCAGTGTTTGCCATGGGCCTCTGAGAGCGGTGATCCCAAGAAAAGACATCATAATCCAGAGCGGTATAAACGAAGTAATTCCTTTCAGTGGAAAACTGGTGTAATTAAATCCAGAAATAATCAAATGAATGACATTTTCCGCTGAAAATGTAAACGATAAATGCTGCTCTGTAAACACCTCCGAAGAGACTGTCTTCTCCCCCATCAATGAAACACGGAATTGGATACAAGGGGCGGATCGCAGCTCTGCTCATTAAAACAGTAAGTCAATGATGTATCAACAGCGGCGCTCAGAGCCCATCCAGGGTAATGTTTGTGTGGGTATCTCAGTATGAAAACTTTAAATGTTCTATCGAAAGATAAATGCTCCCTTTCCCTTTTTAAAAAAAATTAAAGCTTTAAATAGGCAATGTCTATTTTTTTTAATGGCCAGGTCTTGCTTCACAGCAGCATCTCAACTGTAAAATCATACTGATATAATGCAAGTCCATTTAAGCCTCATCCTGTTCAAAACACTTCAGTTATATATGAGGATCTATATCATGATATTAAATGCATGTGAGGGTTATACGAACAAATCGAAGTACATTATAAAAACTATCAAATAAAACGAACACTAAGAAATAGGCTGAAAAAAATTGTTGAATCCACTGAGACTGATGTGGGTTCAAAACTTAAACTTTTAAGGACAGTATAAGTATTTGGGGGTTTGTCTAGCAGAGCAACATCCGGATAGAGGTCAGTGTGATTCTATGGAGCATATAGGGTTAACTAATATTGTATTATATTGAAGTAATGCTGTCGTTTGATTAAAGACGAAATAGCTCGACTTTCATGACACCACGTGCAAAAGGAAAATATAAATAATCCATCTAATGCTTCAGCACCACGGACAGCGAAAAAAGATTGCCACTCTGTTTCTCAAACAGTGCTCCAAGTACTTAACCAGCGTTAAAACAAGAACAAAAAAACATCAATATCAATATCAGAAGAAATAGAAGGGAAGAAATCTAATTTGTCACTCACCAATGTTGACATTTGAGAGCAGTTGCCTGTAATTTGGTTTTCCACCTGTGGTGATTCCGAATCGGTTGCATCAACGCTGACAAGACTCTGACTCATCGGCTGCATATATTTCATGTCACTCTTTCTGGAGTCCGTCGTCCTGCACACCTCGTAATTGTACACGTGCTGGAGAGTCCCTGTGCCCAAAGTGTCTGAGTAACGTGGTGGATAATATGGAATCACAGGGAGGTTGGAGTGATACAGGGTGCGAGACTGTCTCCATCTGTAGATTTTCACTGATATAATAACCACCACACACGTGATGAAGAGGAAGGACACTACAGCCAAAGCCAGCACTAAGTAAAAAGTCAGGTTGTCATTGTACTCCTTGTCGTGTGTAAAGTCAGTGAACTCAGACAGCACTTCAGGGAAGCTGTCCGCCACCGCCACGTTAACAATGACTGCAGCTGAACGAGACGGCAGCCCGTTGTCCTCCACTATAACAGTCAGTCTTTGTTTCACAGCATCTTTATCATTCACTTGGCGGATAGTTCTGATTTCTCCATTCTGTAAGCCCACTTCAAACAGCGCCCTGTCTGTGGCTTTCTGCAGTTTATACGAGAGCCAGGCATTCTGTCCAGAGTCCACATCAACAGCCACCACTTTAGTCACCAGGTAGCCCACATCTGCTGCACGAGGCACCATCTCAGCCACCACTGATCCACCAGTCTGGACTGGGTACAGGACCTGAGGGGGGTTGTCGTTCTGGTCCTGGATCACTATTTTTACTGTCACGTTGCTGCTGAGTGGAGGGGAGCCTCCATCTTGAGCTTTGATTGTTAGCTTAAGTTCTTTGATTTGTTCATAATCAAACGAGCGCAGAGCATGTACAACGCCAGTGTCAGAGTTTATGGACACATAGTTGGACACTGGATTACCGCTGATTTGTGGGTACTCCAGGAAATAGGAGATTCTCGCGTTTTGACCCCAGTCAGAGTCCTGAGCACTAACAGTTGTAATGGACACTCCAGGGGAATTATTCTCTGTGATGTAAGCTGAATATACGTTTTTAATGAACACTGGTCCGTTATCGTTTACGTCAGAGATTCTAAGTTGCAATGTGACAGAGCTAGAGAGAGGAGGAGACCCTGAATCGGTGGCCTCTATAGTAATATCGTATTCAGAAGTAGTCTCCCTATCAAAACGCTGATCCGCCACTAGATTATAGTAGTTCGTTAATGAAGATTCGATTCGAAACGGATGCGTTTTGTCGATGGTACATTTTATTTGTCCATTTTTCTCTGAATCAGCGTCTTTGACATTGAGAACAGCTACTGTTGTCCCGAGAGGGGAATCCTCTGATATGGTATTAGTAAATGACATGATATTGATGACTGGAGCATTATCATTGATGTCACTGACATCAATTATTACTTTACTTGTCCCAGTCAAACCTCCTTGGTCCTTGGCCTCCAGTCTAAGTTCATATTTTTTTATCTTTTTCGAAGTCAATGAGTCCAGCAACTGATATCACACCCGTGTTTTCATCTATTTTAAACGTATCGACGGTTGTGCCTTTTGTTTTTGAAAAACTGAATATTATTTCCCCATGAGCGCCAATGTCTGCATCAGTTGCGTTCACTTTCGATATATATGTCCCCACTGGGGCGTTTTCTTTGACAGAGGCCCTGTACACTGACTGGTTAAATTCAGGGGCATTGTCGTTTGCGTCTAAGACAGATATATTTATATTCACCGTGCCAGATCTCTGTGGGTTTCCACCATCAACAGCTATTACTTTGAGAGGGAGGTTGGAGTGCTCTTCTCTGTCCAATGGCTTTTGCAGCACCAGTTCAGCATATTTACTGCCGTCTGGATTTGCATATTGTTTCAAAATGAAATAATTATTTGGGGACAGAAGGTAATTTTGCAAAGTATTAAGTCCAACGTCAGGATCCACGGCGCTTTCAACGGGAAATTTCGATCCAAGTGTGGCAGATTCGCTTATTTCAAAATGCATATCATTATTTGGAAAGAAGGGGCTATTGTCATTTATATCTAAAATTTCTACCGTGACACGGTGAAGTTCAATTGGACTTTCGAGAATTATTTCAAAACTGAAGCTACATGGTGTGACGTCTCCGCAGAGCTGCTCTCGGTCTATTCTCTCATTCACGACCAGAGTCCCTTTGTCTGTCTTCAACTGGGTGTACTGGATGTTTTCCCCGCTCACGATACGGGCACGGCCAGAACGAAGCCTTTTCATATCTAGACCGAGGTCTTGTCCCACATTACCGATAACAGATCCCTTTTTCATCTCCTCAGGAATAGAATAACGAATCTGAGCTGCCACTCTATTACCAAAACAACAAAGCAAAATAATGAATCCCATTTGACATTGTAATAGTAAAAGCGATCGCCATCTTACGCCTTTAGCGGAGGGTTGTCCCATTGCAGCCATATCAGATACAATAGACGGTGCGTCCCAACTTGAAGAAAAAAGCAAGGGCTTGAACTCCAGCTCAAATAAATTGCACAACTATAAGAAAACACGGCTCTCCTTGTGTATTCCAAAGGTGAATCTGTGCAAAAACTGCCTTCCCAATCTCTGTCCTCTCGGAAGGACTGTATCTCTCCTGTCATGCTACAGTGCAATAGTGAGGGAGGGAAAAAGGCTTCATGACAACACTAAAAACGTTTTGCTGACCAACAGCGTCACTTAGAGTCCAAAATCTGAACACGCTTCACTGGGACTTAAATTTAAATTCTTCACTTGTGAATGCACACAGCTAATACTCAAATGGTCAGCGGAAAATAATATAATTGCCTTATGTGTTATGTTAAAAAAAGAGTTGTGTTAAACGGTTGAAAAAAACAGTAGAAAGAAGTACCCCAACTTCCTTATCACCCCACCTTATAGTCCGTTAGAGAAATCATACTACTACAAGAGGAAATATGTGACTTTTACATAGAGGACTTTCGCTTTCCCCGTCAATGAAACAAGCAACAATGCAAACGTATTAAAAACTGTGTGGAAATCACATTACAACCAACCATATTCACTTCAATAAAGACTATTTATTGTACCACACCATTCCAAGTTATAACATAAACTAAAGGAGAACGTTTGAGTCATATTCAGTAAAAACAATTAAATAATTAAATGAAAAATACATAAAATCAATAAGTAAAAATAATTAGCAGATTACGGACAGAAACATGAAAGAGGTATTGTTATTGACAGATTTCTGTGAGTCACTTTATATCCAAATAATGAGAGGTTTGACTTCAAAGTCAGGAGGTAGTGAATCCTGAGATTTTTGGGGCACAGACTAGTGATTGTATATTAGACACAGTAGACAAATATTAATAACCTCCAGAAGAGAGTCTGGTTCGTTGTAGATGTTATTTACACTCTGTATACACTGCAACAATCCTATCAGGTGGAAGAGATAAATAATTTTGTATCCAATCTAAGATGAGAACTCACAGGAAAAAAACAAAATAACCTTGCGGAAGATTAGGTTAAAAAAGGGCATTTGTCCCTTTACACGTGTATCATTTCCCCTTTAAAATAAACTCTGAAACTCACAAAACAACAACATTAAATGTATGTATTTGTGAAATGATATGACATTGTAGCATCAAATCACCATTGATGTAGGTATGTAGGAACTTTTTTTAAGCTTTAAATGTGAATTAAGCATGTGGTGAAAATGTAGCTGCTGTCCATGGTACTGAAAATGTCAGTATAGTTCAAAACGGTTCACTATCAGTGAAACCAAACACAAAAAGCAGAACAACAGCAGAAAGAAAGGAAACATTGTTTAACTGACCTCTAGAGGAGAGTCTGGTTCATCCAGGATGCTCTTCTCACTCTGTATCCGCTGCATGGTCCCTGTAGAACTGGGGTCCATTATCAGCACGTTCTGACTACCAGCTCTGCCGAACTTACAGTCACTCTTTCTGGAGTCAGTCGTCCTGCACACCTCGTAATTGTACACGTGCTGGAGAGTCCCTGTGCCCAAAGTGTCTGAGTAACGTGGTGGATAATATGGAATCACAGGGAGGTTGGAGTGAAACAGGGTGCGAGACTGTCTCCATCTGTAGATTTTCACTGATATAATAACCACCACACACGTGATGAAGAGGAAGGACACTACAGCCAAAGCCAGCACTAAGTAAAAAGTCAGGTTGTCATTGTACTCCTTGTCGTGTGTAAAGTCAGTGAACTCAGACAGCACTTCAGGGAAGCTGTCCGCCACCGCCACGTTAACAATGACTGCAGCTGAACGAGACGGCTGCCCGTTGTCCTCCACTATAACAGTCAGTCTTTGTTTCACAGCATCTTTATCATTCACTTGGCGGATAGTTCTGATTTCTCCATTCTGTAAGCCCACTTCAAACAGCGCCCTGTCTGTGGCTTTCTGCAGTTTATACGAGAGCCAGGCATTCTGTCCAGAGTCCACATCAACAGCCACCACTTTAGTCACCAGGTAACCCACATCTGCTGTACGAGGCACCATCTCAGCCACTACTGACCCACCAGTCTGGACTGGGTACAGGACCTGAGGGGGGTTGTCGTTCTGGTCCTGGATAATCATTTTCACTGTCACGTTGCTACTGAGTGGAGGAGAGCCTCCATCCTGCGCTTTGACCACAAAAACCAGTTCTTTCAGCTGCTCATAATCAAATGAACGCACTGCGTGCACTACTCCGCTTTCTGCATTAACTGAGACATAACCAGAAACTGGGGATCCACCGATATTAGTGTCTTCCAGAATATAAGATATTCTGGCGTTTTGGTTTTCATCAGGATCTCTGGCCCTCAGTGTGATAACAGACACACCTGGAGAGTTATTCTCTGTGATAAACGCATTATAAACACCTTGTGGAAACACTGGTGCATTATCGTTCACATCAGAGACCTTCAAATGAAAGGTTCTCTTTGACGAGAGAGGAGGCATTCCTGCATCTGTTACAACTACAGTGATGTTATACTCTGAAACACTTTCACGATCTAATACAGTATCTGTGACCAAAGTGTAATAATTTCTTAAATTGGATTTAATCTTAAAAGGTGCATTTTCTTCAATTCTACAGTTCACTTGTCCATTATCACCTGAATCAAGATCTTTAACATTTATGATCCCAATAGTTGTTCCAGGAGGAGAGTCCTCTGACACAGGACTAGTGAATGACATCACGCTTATGACAGGGGCGTTGTCATTTACATCAGTCACTTCTATTACAACTTTACATGAATCCGTTAAACCTCCCTGATCCTTTGCATCAATTCTAAGCTCGTATTTTTTATCCTTCTCAAAATCCATTGGACCTGAAACATATAAGGCACCAGTTACTTGATCAATAGACAGCAAATCAGCTACATTGCTCTTCACGTTTGAAATTGAATATGTGATGTAACTATTTGATCCGGTATCTGCATCTGTAGCATTTACAGAAAAAATATGAGTGCCCTTTGCTGCATTCTCAATCACCGTTGCTTTATAAACTGACTGGTTAAACACAGGCGCATTGTCATTTGCATCAAGAACATTTATGTTTATATTCACTGTGCCAGATCTCTGTGGACTCCCACCATCTACTGCTAAAAGCTTTAAAAACAGATGTGGAACTTCCTCTCTGTCTAATTGCTTCTGAAGCATCATCTCTGCATATTTACTCCCGTCAGGATTTACATGCTCCTTTAAAACAAAATTGTCGTTTGAGGTTAAAACATAATTCTGAAGACCATTGATGCCAACATCAGGGTCCTCTGCACTGTCAAGCACAAATCGCGCCCCGAGGACAGCAGACTCGCTTATATCTAACATAATGTCAGATTTCTTAAATACCGGGGGATGATCATTTACGTCTAAAACTTCAATTGTTATGTGATGCAACTCCATAGGATTTTCCAAAATTATTTCAAAGCTGAAACTGCAAGGTTCGACCTCTCCACAAAGCTGCTCTCGGTCTATTATTTCTTTCACGACGAGAATCCCTTTGTCTGTCTTCAGCTCGGTGTACTGGATGCTATCTCCGGTCACGATACGGGCCCGCCCTGAACGGAGCCTTTTCAGATCCAAACCTAGATCCTGTGCTACATTTCCGATAAGGGAACCTTTCTTCATCTCCTCCGGGATTGTATATCGGATATGTCCACCGACCATTTGGTTGAGATACAAGAAGAAAACGAGCAGCAGCCAGTTTTGTCCGCAGCCAGTTCGCCATTTCACGCAAAGACTGAAGGGAAGTATTCCACAAGCCATGATCCAAGAATCACACAAATACTATCGTGGCAATCCAAGCACACTAATTATTCTCCACAGAAGAAAACTCTAAAGAGGTTGATTCTGGTTTGTTATCATCCGAACAGAAATGTCAGATCATGCGAGTCTTTTCGCCTCTGTCAGCCCACATGAAGCACAATACCAATCGCTCTCTCACAGGATAGACTGGTGAGGGAGGGGACTGTTTAGTGATGCTCTGTAGCTTAAATTGGATTGACCAACAGCGTCCCTTAGAGTCCAAAATCAAGAACGCCATGTAACACAGAATCATTTCTGCAAATATTACATGGTTGCTCTCATTTAACTGGTAAATCATATACATATTGTAAAAGAAAATAAATATTCCATTCCTCTAAAATAACCATTGTAATACAAATTAGTTTAATACTCATCTTAAAAAAGACAAGATTTTGGAAATCAAGTCTAAATTGGTAAAAAAGTGAAATAAACATTGCAATGCTCATCACAGGTTTTAACCAAAAATAAAATAACCCAAAATCTTCTATCTTTAAACACGGTCAAAACTAGAAAAAAAAAAAAACGTGAGCTTCGTGAAACTATAGACGCTGAATGAGAATTCTTAAAGCCAGTTGCTAAAAATAAATACATGTTTTCAACAATCACCAGTTGATTTCCATGAAGTCACTCTGAAAGTCACCAACACTGAACAACGTGTAACAGAATAACTAAGTAGGAAGTACCCCATATAAATTACGCAGAATACGACACTGTCCAAGGTGCTGAATACAAAGGAAGAACGTCACAAATATATTTAAACACGGAAAGATACATAGAGGCACAGAGGATAAATTATTTCAGTAAACTAACCTCCAGAGGAGAATCTGGTTCATCCAGGATGCTCTTCTCACTCTGTATCCGCTGCATGGTCCCTGTAGAACTGGGGTCCATTATCAGCACGTTCTGACTACCAGCTCTGCCGAACTTACAGTCACTCTTTCTGGAGTCAGTCGTCCTGCACACCTCGTAATTGTACACGTGCTGGAGAGTCCCTGTGCCCAAAGTGTCTGAGTAACGTGGTGGATAATATGGAATCACAGGGAGGTTGGAGTGATACAGGGTGCGAGACTGTCTCCATCTGTAGATTTTCACTGATATAATAACCACTACACACGTGATGAAGAGGAAGGACACTACAGCCAAAGCCAGCACTAAGTAAAAAGTCAGGTTGTCATTGTACTCCTTGTCGTGTGTAAAGTCAGTGAACTCAGACAGCACTTCAGGGAAGCTGTCCGCCACCGCCACGTTAACAATGACTGCAGCTGAACGAGACGGCTGCCCGTTGTCCTCCACTATAACAGTCAGTCTTTGTTTCACAGCATCTTTATCATTCACTTGGCGGATAGTTCTGATTTCTCCATTCTGTAAGCCCACTTCAAACAGCGCCCTGTCTGTGGCTTTCTGCAGTTTATACGAGAGCCAGGCATTCTGTCCAGAGTCCACATCAACAGCCACCACTTTAGTCACCAGGTAGCCCACATCTGCTGCACGAGGCACCATCTCAGCCACCACTGATCCACCAGTCTGGACTGGGTACAGGACCTGAGGGGGGTTGTCGTTCTGGTCCTGGATCATCATTTTCACTGTCACGTTGCTACTGAGTGGAGGGGAGCCTCCATCCTGCGCTTTGACCACGAAAACCAGTTCTTTCAGCTGCTCATAATCAAATGAACGCACTGCGTGCACTACTCCGCTTTCTGCATTAACTGAGACAAAACCAGAAACTGGAGATCCACCGATATTAGTGTCTTCCAGAATATAAGATATTCTGGCGTTTTGGTTTTCATCAGGATCTCTGGCCCTTAGTGTGATAACAGACACACCTGGAGAGTTATTCTCTGTGATAAACGCATTATAAACACCTTGTGGAAACACTGGTGCATTATCGTTCACATCAGAGACCTTCAAATGAAAGGTTCTCTTTGATGAGAGAGGAGGCATTCCTGCATCTGTTACAACTACAGTGATGTTATACTCTGAAACACTTTCACGATCTAATACAGTATCTGTGACCAAAGTGTAATAATTTCTTAAATTGGATTTAATCTTAAAAGGTGCATTTTCTTCAATTCTACAGTTCACTTGTCCGTTATCACCTGAATCAAGATCTTTAACATTTATGATCCCAATAGTTGTTCCAGGAGGAGAGTCCTCTGACACAGGACTAGTGAATGACATCATGCTAACAGCGGGGGTGTTGTCATTCACATCACTAACTTCAATTATTACTTTGCAAGAATCCGTCATTCCTCCCTGATCTTTTGCATCGAGTCTGAGCTCAAATTTCTTATCCTTTTCATAATCCACAGCACCTTTAATAAAAATATCACCAGTTCTTCCATCAACTGTGAACATATCACTGAGGCCACTATTTAGGTCTGAAAAATAGTACGTTACAATACTATTTGAGCCGTAATCTGCGTCACTAGCATTAACAGTGGTAACGTAAGTGTCTTTTGGAGAGTTTTCCATCACTGTAGCTTTGTACACAGATTGGTTAAAAACAGGTGCATTATCATTGGCATCAAGAACAACGATATCTATATTTACAGTACCAGATCTCTGCGGCGATCCACCGTCTACGGCGATCAGCTTGAGAGATAGTTTAGGATTTGTCTCTCTGTCTAAAGGCTTCTGTAACACCATTTCAGCGTATTTCTTCCCATCTGCATTCGAGTTTTGTTTCAGAACAAAATTATCATTCTCAGACAGAAAATATTCTCTGAGTCCATTTACACCCACATCAGGGTCTTCTGCACTCGTCAATGAAAAACGAGCACCTACATTAGCTATCTCACTAATTTCAAAATTGATTTTATCTCTTTTAAATGTTGGCGAGTGATCATTTATGTCTGTTATTTCAACTGTAATTTGATGTAGCTCCATAGGGTTTTCTAAAATCACCTCAAAGCTGAAACTGCACGGTGTGACGTCTCCACAGAGCTGCTCTCGGTCTATTCTCTCATTCACGACCAGAGTCCCTTTGTCTGTCTTCAGCTCGGTGTACTGGATGTTTTCTCCGGTCACGATACGGGCCCGCCCTGAACGGAGTCTTTTCAGATCCAAGCCTAGATCCTGAGCTACATTACCGATTAGGGAGCCTTTCTTCATCTCCTCCGGGATTGCATATCGGATATGTCCACCGACCATTTGGTTGAGATACAAGAAGAAAACGAGTAGCAGCCAGTTTTTTCCGTAGCCAGTTCGCCATTTCACGAAAAGACTGAAGGGAAATATTCCACAAGCCATGACCCAAGAATCACACAAATACTATCGCGGCAATCCAAGCGCAGAGGAATTACCCTTTACAGAAACAAACTCTAAAGAGGTTGATTCTGGTTTGTTATCATACGAAAAGAGATGTCAGATCATGCGAGTCTATTCGCCTCTGTCGGCCCACATGAAGCACACTACCAATCGCTCTCTCACAGGATAGACTGGTGAGGGAGGGGACTGTTTAGTGATGCTCTGTATCTTAAATTGGATTGACCAACAGCGTCCCTTAGAGTTCAAAATCAAGATTGCCATGTAACACAAAATGATTTCTACAAATATCATATGGGTGCTAGCATTTTACTTTTAAATGTCACAAAAATATTTAAAATAAAAAAAAACATTTTACTCCAAAAAAGACCCCTTAGAATACCAACTTACTTTAGCCTCATCTTAAAAGAAGACACTAGTTTGGATTTTATGTCTAAATTCGTCACAAGGTAAAAAAAAAAAACATTGCAGTGCTCATTACAGGTTTTAAGAAATAATAAAATACTCCAAACATATTCTATCGTTTAACAAGGAAACAACTACAAAAAAAGAAAAGGGTATGGTGAAACTATAGAAGTTGAATGAGAATTGTTAAAGTCAGATGCTAAAATTATTTACATGTTTTCAACAATCCTCAGTTGATTTCCATGAAGTCACTCTGAAAGTCACCAACACTGAACAACGTGTAACAAAATAACTAAGTAGAAGGTACCCCATATAAATTAAAGCAGAATACGACGCTGTCCAAGGTGCTGAAAATAAAGGAAGAGCGTCACCTACGAAAAGATTTATATCAGCACAGAGGATGAATAACATCAGTAAACTAACCTCTAGAGGAGAATCTGGTTCATCCAAGATGCTCTTCTCACTCTGTATCCGCTGCATGGTCCCTGTAGAACTGGGGTCCATTATCAGCACGTTCTGACTACCAGCTCTGCCGAACTTACAGTCACTCTTTCTGGAGTCAGTCGTCCTGCATACCTCGTAATTGTACACGTGCTGGAGAGTCCCTGTGCCCAAAGTGTCTGAGTAACGTGGTGGATAATATGGAATCACAGGGAGGTTGGAGTGAAACAGGGTGCGAGACTGTCTCCATCTGTAGATTTTCACTGATATAATAACCACCACACACGTGATGAAGAGGAAGGACACTACAGCCAAAGCCAGCACTAAGTAAAAAGTCAGGTTGTCATTGTACTCCTTGTCGTGTGTAAAGTCAGTGAACTCAGACAGCACTTCAGGGAAGCTGTCCGCCACCGCCACGTTAACAATGACTGCAGCTGAACGAGACGGCTGCCCGTTGTCCTCCACTATAACAGTCAGTCTTTGTTTCACAGCATCTTTATCATTCACTTGGCGGATAGTTCTGATTTCTCCATTCTGTAAGCCCACTTCAAACAGCGCCCTGTCTGTGGCTTTCTGCAGTTTATACGAGAGCCAGGCATTCTGTCCAGAGTCCACATCAACAGCCACCACTTTAGTCACCAGGTAGCCCACATCTGCTGCACGAGGCACCATCTCAGCCACCACTGATCCACCAGTCTGGACTGGGTACAGGACCTGAGGGGGGTTGTCGTTCTGGTCCTGGATCACCATTTTCACTGTCACGTTGCTACTGAGTGGAGGGGAGCCTCCATCCTGCGCTTTGACCACAAAAACCAGTTCTTTCAGCTGCTCATAATCAAATGAACGCACTGCGTGCACTACTCCGCTTTCTGCATTAACTGAGACAAAACCAGAAACTGGAGATCCACCGATATTAGTGTCTTCCAGAATATAAGATATTCTGGCGTTTTGGTTTTC